AGACGACTGAAATAACTGATCATGAGAACATCAACAAATTAAATTGCAAGATTACAAATCAACTCGTAGTTCTTGATCCGATCAAATACAGGTAAGTAAATGAAACCAGTCGAAACGTTTCCGCACAGACCTTGCCACCAGCCTTTCCGATGTACACAATCCCCAGCTTTTGTCCTGCTTGCATCATTCCATAGAATGGGGTTTCCCACACCGCAATACAAATCACTACAACAAGGCTAAAACATGGCGAATTCGAAGTACTACGATTTTTATCGCCACCTTGATCAGCGGTTGATCAGCGACGCTATATACAGCTTGGTAACCCGGCACAAGGAGAACATGCGCGAGGGCAACTCGCGAGGGTCTCTTTAGCAAGAGTCTGAGAAAGGAACGAGAAAAGAGGAAACGACCACTGCATTTTAGGAAAGCTTTTCAACTCTTTACGTTGGCCAATTTATGTCATCAACTCAGTTGATAATACAAAATTACCCTGTTATACTCTCCCACCGACGCGGCACCTGTATTCATTTGCCTTTAATTCAGTCGAGCATTCACCAAAACCACTTTCAATAAGTCGTTAAACGGAAGAATGGTAAAAATTGTGTCGCGTTTTACTGGCATGTCATTTGAGAGCCACCGATCTCTTCAGAGTACCCCTAATCGACTCTAAGAAATTAAATTTCCTCAAAGACTCTAATGATAACTGCACAGTTCTTATTCATGATATTCGCGATTCTTTTTTGAGGTCCACTTACTTTGGACACCACAGTTTCTTTAGATACTTACCCCTTTACTCTGAAGAGAGTTGGTATCAAAAGGAAAAAATATAAACTGATTTTGGCTCGAAGTTTGTGAGAAAGATAAACTTAAGGAAAGGAATCAAAAGCAAAACGATGTTTCCTTTTGTGATTGGAAACTGTTTGTCCTGAAAAGCAACAAATTTCTTCCTTTTCATACTTCATGATCTTCTAACTCTGAAGGGCTGTTAAAGACTTTAAAGAAGATAAAACCGGTCGCAGTGCAAGAAAAAAACCGTGTGGCCTCGTTCACTTATATTCCCCAGCTGAGCTGGGACATGAAAGAAGTTGATGCTCTCTTTGTTACTGGGTAAATAATAGTTCTTGTTCAGGTGGAAAGCACCTAGTTCGAACGGGGTACGGAAATTTTTCTGGTGTGCCCTTCTATGACAGATTCAGCAAAATTCAAACGTGGATCTCGAGAGCCAGGAATCACAGCAAGGTCTTGAAGCTGAAAAAGAATTAGACATCAGAAGTGACTAAAAGAGTGGAGCATGTAGGAGGGAAGAACCGTTTTTGGTGATAGCAGAAGTATTTTATTCAAGCAGTTCTGGAGATAGTGTCCAGAGTCAACCTAACTATTCTTGCCGGCAGCCTATGGACTGATAGCTGCGCTGTAACCATTGCTAAATGAACGGCATAAGAAAAGGGCATAGCTGACAAAAGACAAAAAGTGGCTGATTGTAAATAAGTTATCTCTTAACGTCAAAAATCTAACTTTGTTATATTCAAAACGTAACAAAATGTGTTGATTATGAAGTAAACATAAATATCTTTGAGTATAGTGCCAGTCCCCTCGTCTCTTTGAAACGGAAAAAAAATATAAAATATCTTGGTGTCCTCATCGATTAAAAATTATCTTGGACTCAACACATTTATTTCATCTGAAATTAGCAAATCTTTAGGCATATTATCAAGATTGAGACATTTTGTCCCACAAGCTGCATTGCTTAACATATATCGATCGAGTTTAGAAAATGTGTTGATTTTGCAAAAACGTGCTCTCCGCCTCATAACATTGCAGAATTATTTAGTTATTCATCAGAAAAACAATGCTGTTATACAGGGTCTTCAGCGACTGGTAGTCTCTATCTTAAACATTTGAGAACAGAACATGTGAAAGATTCTTTTTCAAGACTGGGTGCAAGGATCTGGAATAGTATTCCCATCTGTCTTTGTTCTCTATCTAAGTATAAATTTAGGACTATTGCACAGACAGCTGCTAAACATTTTGATGCGATAGGATACTTATGTTGACGTCTATACTTTAACTGACAAATTTAGAAAATTATAATCTTTTTAGTTTCATTTGTTGTTGCTTTTTCCCCTTTTTTCGCGTAATTTTGATTCCAGTTGTAATATGTAACACCTAATTGGCTTATCGATAACTTATCGTACTGTTTTTCATTGTTCGCGTATATGCATGGTCTCTTAGTCATTTCCTCTGTTCAGTCAAACTTATTATTGAAGAATTTATTTTAATGTTTGTTATCCTCTAGAAACAACCTTCAGACGAACTTGAACCAGTGTCACAAGGCCGCACCAGTCGGTCTAGGAAAGTTATGGAATGTTATCATGTACAAATAAAAAAGAAAGGCTTTGACTCATACGACGGCTCTGCAACTTATTCTACGGGGATAGACCCCAAGCTAATGGATTCTTCCCAGAATAACCGACTGCATCGGCTGCAAACTGAAAATTGTATGTAGAGTGTGAACAGCTATCTCCTGGATACCAGATTTGCACATAATGCCTATTGGTAAAAAATCACGAGAATTCAAGATCCCTTATTGATTAACACGCCTAAAAGCAACGTCCGAAGAAACCATCACATGATTCGGAAACTGGAGCCAAAAGGCTAATGAGCCAGTACAACAGGTGCAGTCACATGGTGAGGAGGTACTTCCCACTTCAGCTGAGAGTCTGCCCGAGGAGGAGACCTTAGCAGCATCTCAGGGAGTTCCTGAGTGTCTCCTGGATCCACCAGCTCTGTTGAACACCTTCGTTGGTTGATTAATTCTGATCTGGCGGGTATCACGAACCTCCAGCTCCTCTAATCACACTATCACAACTAGGCTTAAAAGATTCTTGATCAAAAAGTTTTAACCTTTGCTCGGACATTTACCCAAGTCAAGAGACCTTAAGCTGCTCCCTTGTTAGAACTCTTGCTCTGGCTTACTAGCCAAACTGTTGTAGCATTCCCAACGATGTAAGTGCATTTGATCAGAGGTACATGAAATGATGTGTGGCAATGCCGCAAAGTGAATAAATGACATGGTTAAGAATAAACAATTTTGTGACGAAGACTTAGGTGAGATGCCATCACTGAAGTTAAGCAGATTTTATCGTATTTCTTTTCGTAAGGATACAGATTTCTACGTGAACTGCTTGATCAAAACGATGTTTGTCAGTGATGTTTGAAATCACTTTTTCTCAACTGAAAGATAATTTGACGTTTGGGCAACAGAAAATATCACATACCTCACCTTGGCGTACTTTACCTTATTATCTACGAGCAGTTGGGTCTCGCTCCATTGTAATCTTTCAATTAACTACGAGCAGTCCCTCTAGTTTGGCGAAGACCGTCGTGCAAGTAACTGCATATTTATTTTGTCTGAACTTCAAGCTAAGTATGACTATTTTTTCCCTTCTTTGACTCGTTGTTGAAGAAGTTTGAGTCACAAGGGATTTTCTCCTCAAGAGAAGCTTTATAGCACACTTGTACATTTGGCAGACCAATGGGAAAAGTTTTGTTCAAAGATCTTCGCTGTCAAATGACAAGCATTAAAAGGAGATTCAATGTTTAAGTCAATGGGTTAATTGGACTTCTTCCCTTCTGAAGAACATTCATGTTCTGTATCCTCAGAGCTCACTGAGTAGCTACTAATTGTTACTTAATACATCTCAAAGTTCGGTTCATTGGACCCAACTGGGAGGGAAGAGCTGAGGGTGGGTCCAAAGCTGCACTTGACCCCCTCCATGAAGCTCTAAAGGCAAAACATTAAAAATTAAAATTCAGGCGGCTGGTACGTTAGCTTATAATGTCCGCGGCTGAGACATGAACATATGCCCCCAAAAGTTAAAGCTTTGAGGGAAAATGGAAAGTTTTAGGGCATTCTCTAAGCTTATGATATTATCAGCAGACATACCAATAAGTGTGTGGGTGGTTTAACTTTTTCCTATAACCCTCCCGTTCGTTTCCTTACCAAAAATTTTGTTGACTTCTTTGTACATTCCGGAGCAGCATTTGAAGTCAGCATTTTAATGTCAGTATCACTGAACTCTACAAAAGAGTTGGTTTTTTCTTCCATGTTTCACAAATAAGGACGCCTTGACTGTGCTCTGTTGTTGTAACGCAGGGAGGAAGCGGCTAGAGCACGAAAAGTGTATGGGGAAACACAAGACTTAGTCGAGTGTTTCTCCCTACTTATTTAAGTGTTTTAACCGCTTCTTAAGTGCTTTACAACAGAACAGAGTACAGTCAAGGCTTCTTCAACTGTTGTATAATTAATAACCCGTCAAATTCCCCATGCATTTCTTACCACTTTCAAAACAAATTTTAATTATGTATGAATTTTTAGGTATGAATTTTAGTTTGGTTACATTTTCATCATTCCTGTTCTGTTTTTGAACGTGAAACTTTATGTGCCATATGGTGGTTAGCTGTGTTTAATTTTATAACCGTTCGTAAGTTTCCAATCTAACTGAGAGTGAAAACCTTTTAAACTCGGACAGTCCATTTCGTTTTCTCTTTTGAGATTTTCGTCTCTGTTCACGCTATAGTAAAGTAAATTACGGCGCTAGGCATGTTCGCAAACCTTGGTTTCATTTTTCTATTGCTACTTCCTGGCTCGCTTGTTCCGAAAATGTCATTTTCAATTAACGAAAAAAAGCTAGAGAGAAGTTCGGAAAATGGTCGGACATAGTACAATTTAGAAGATGGCGTGACAGCTTTAGCTTAGCTCCGTGTTTTGTACTTCGATAGAACAAGCTCTTTCAACCAATGACAGCGCGCGTTATATCCGAACTTTATTGTAAAAAGTAATAAAGATGAAAAAGTAAAGTTCTTAAGTGACTTTTGGTTCCGCTGGCTTTGTTTCTTTTCGACGGAAATAATCGGAGGACAAATATCGACGTAGACGGGAATTATTTCGTGTTACTGTCCGGTGATTTTGCACCACGTGACGTAAAGTAACCAGGCAATGAAATCGCACGAAAATTAATGGGTAGGTTATAAGTTCTTACAGTTCACCTTATATTTTACTAAGTAGCTTACCTAGATCGCTGTAAAAAATGTCGTTACTTACACAGTTTATAGCCTATAACTCTAATGTTACTTACATAGCCTACCAGGTTCTTCGCTTAGGTAGCTCACAGTTGGCCCAAGTTACACTGATCATATTTTCTGCATAGCTGATTTGTTTTTAGCAATCATAAATCACTAACTTGACTAATTTATAACTTTCAAATTACTCCCAGTAGCAGTGCAGTCAACCTAACATCTAACGTTATCTTGGGTTCAGTTTTCAACCTCCTAAGGAGGAAGTGCTCATTTTCCAAATAACAGCGGAGGTGATAATGCCTGAGTCTATCCTAAAGTGTTCGTGAGCAAACCTCTTTGCTCACCTTCTCGCATTCCTGGTTGTTGGAGCTCAAACCTATTTTCAGCATTTGGCACTGGAGGCTTATCCCTGTTAGTGGTGGGCCCTGAGGTTTGTGACTCATTAAACTTTAGCATCTTGGGAACCAAGTAAGTGATAATATACAACAGCACCACCCTTATAATGTCATCCGCAGTTTCCCTTCCATAAAATGAGTTCCCTGCTAATAATGGAACAACAGCAGCACAACAACAGCCAAAGAAACAAAACCCAGAGAATATATATGCTTGAAAATTTGCTTGTTTAAAAAGATGCCATAGTGCAGAAAAAAAGACGATGATAAATACCAAGATTACCAAAAAAACAGTTAACCCCCAGGTTGGGGTTATCATTATGCCTATAAGCAGCCAGAAAAAATGGTATAGGACTAAATTTACCCATATGTAATAGATTGAACTCCTGAAAAATGCAATGATCCTTTTCATGGTATCTTTGACTCTGCCATGAGGGCCCAGGTTACCTCCATTACCTCCTTGGTTACCACTGTTGCCTCGTATATACTTTTTCAATTTTAAAATGGAGACAATTGCAGGACCCTCAGCAGTGATTATTAATATAAATATCATGGGAAGCCCTATATTGTAACTTTTGATAAAGGAGTAAGTAATAATTACAATTTCTATTAGCAGCATAACAACAACAGTTAAATTTGCTGCATAAACTACTGGCTTTTCCTCCCAACAACAAAACCTGCTGGTCTCCCCAGGAGAACTCTTCAAATACTCCAAGATAAAGTAAGCTAGTAATGGACCCAGTAGCATGACAGATATAAAAGAGCAGAATAACATTGAATATATTAAACCACTGCGTCCTGTATCCAGTATTTTTGGGTCATGATCCTTAATGACACATTCAGCTGTGTTCAGCCTTGGATCTGGTTTTGCTGGACTCACCGCCAAGTCTTGGAGCTATAAATCAGACAGCATAAAAAGTGGTATATAAAGTTAATACACCATTTTGAAATAACATAAGTGTAATACACATCCCTGTTAACAACTATGCTGAAAAGCTGCTTGAATAATCTCAAAAATGGAAATCACACAATAAGTTATTTTTTCTGATTTTCCAATAATCTATGCAATCATAGGAAGAAGCCAATGGTATATTAAGTAAGCTGCTCTAGCTATTGCCATTTTGAGCCGCACAAGTCACATGTTGTAAAGCTGATTTTGTTTTAAGGTCAGCAGCATTGCGGTTCTTTTTTTAAGAGAACAATTGTTTATAGCACCTGAACTATTTGATTTTATGTAATGTACTAACTTGCATTTTGGCTTGTTTGATGCTGTGTACCGGTTATTTTTGAGACACCTTTTAATATGGTTTTAATAGAACTTGAGGGAAATAAGTTCCAATCCACCAATCCAAGTGTGTGTCCCTTTCCACAAGGATTAACAATAATATAAAATAATGTAAATAACATCTGCAGGTCCACTTTAAGGTTGGCTATAGCTCTATATTATTCTGTGTAAGCATGTGTATTTTTTCAAGTGAATTAACTTTTTATTCATTCAAAAATTCATTTAGGAGATATGACTTAAAGAATCTTTGATTTATTTTGGTTCAATAAACAAACCAGGAGTTCTTATACCTTAACTATATTGTTCTCAGATGAAGCAAGGAAATTCACATCCACCAGCAGATTTACACTTACCTCAGCTATAACATCCTCGATCATCTTTTCTCTCCTGTCCTCAGAAATTTTACAGCAAAAGGATGGCAGGGTTATATCTAGATGCTGTGAGCGAGGACTCACTATTATTGAACCAAGAGACATGACCTGCAGGACAGCTGCAGGTAATGCAACAAATAGGCAATTTGTACTCCAAGTGTATTTGCATGCATTTGATCTAGGACTCTGTGTTCCATTAAGTCCATATACATTCACAAAGACACGTACAGAAGAAGGCTTCTTTGCTGGATACAATGCTGCTCGAATGTTAAAGCTGTTCTCCCCTGAAGCCAAAGCATTATATATGTCTCCATAAGTTCCAATACATGGCTTTTTATCGATGCAATGGCTGATGACATTTGTGTTGTTTGCACATTCCACAATACCAAAAATGTAGAATTTGAAGACAAAGAGAACAATAAACTTCAATGGACAGGCCATGTGCACCTCTCTGTTATACATTGATCACCACTGCTTTCCTTTGTGGTTACACTTCTGACATCAAACAATAACATGATTGAAACTTATTAGAGACCCTCATTAGCAACAACAACAACAACAACAACACACACAGACACATATATAAATACATACATACATATATATATATATATATATATATATGGAAACCATACATTCTAAATCTTGTACCACAAACAAATCCTCTGGGCAGTAAAGATACAAAATATATTGATTTAACATAGCAATTAATAGCGGAAACAAAACAAATGCAATGAAGTATTCCCTAAGAAAATTGAACAAACATGTTTTTGCTAGAAGCCTTGGTCATCGGAAGTTATCTTAGACCTAGCCTCTAATTTTCTGAAACTACCTTGATAATCCTCGCCATTCGGCCCAAACTTATCTTGACTAATAATTAATTTGTTACATTAAACCTAAGAACCTTATGAAAATGTTAAAATAATTGCGAATTTCATCTTTAATTTGCTGTTTAACAAGTGTTAAGAAGACATTAATATGCTGAAGGGAGTGTGGACGTAGGTAAGTTGTACCAATCGCATACTTCCGCCTCTGGAACATTCAATACATTCAATGCTTCATCACTACTGAGCCATAAATCAGTGTTAAGAACAAATCATTTTGATTGCTAGTGGAAATTCCACAATCTCATTCATTAGATCAGATGGCAGCTTACCTCGACACTACCTCAGAAGTGCGAAGTCGCTCCTTTGAGAGGATTTAGGATGACGTCATTCGTAACTGGCAGTAGTTTGGCGCTGACTACACCACATGAAGCGTATCGTAAAATCCAGTCAGATATGGCTGAGGAGGCGCTTTACAGAACTCTCAAAAAGGTTTCTGGATCAGGGAATGAACGCAAGCAAAGCAAACAAACAGGTGACTTAATCCAAAAAATTACATTTGCAACCAAATGTTTGGTTGAAAAGCGAGGTATGAGCTTTGCAACGAGGGAACAGTTCTAGGAATTTTCCATTTTGGTGTGCTCAACAGTCCCAGTGGGCCTCCTTTTCTCTTAATTAACACAAGTCCCACAGCTCTGTCATGATATCAGTTTTCTGTTTACAGCTGAGAATGTAGACCGAATCGGGGTACACCAGTCCATCCTTTCGATTGGCTTCTCGGCCTGAATTGTTAATTGATCCAACTTTGTTATCGTTCGAATATAATATAAGCGGAACTCTCTCTACTTCTAAACTTTCCATGGTGCAAGTTTACTGGTTATGAGTGTACATCTATGTTTTTCTTATGCTTTACAGTATTAAGATCAAAACTTATGAACCTTCCAAAAACTAGAGGAGGATGGTGCGTGATCCACGTTATTTTACACATGTACGAATCTGTCGAAATCTTTGCCAAAATTCCTAAACTGAAAGATTTCCAAGACCAAATCCACCTATCCACCAATGATCACCACCCTATTTATCATTTTTTTATTTCAAATATGCAACAAAGCTTAGCAAGTTACTGCGTTGTCCACTATGTCATTCACTGTCTAGTTATTTCAAACAAGAAATGATTAAAGATCAGTGGTTTAAAATCTATGCAATCATACATGTATTTAGCTGGAAAACTTGTCTACTTGACCATAGTTAAATTATACCCTATTTTTTCACCCATATTTATTTAATAACTAGATCATATGATACCCCTAAACAAATGGGCAAAAAAAATCTTGTGAAGGTGAAACAAAGGCTTTAGAAATTTGACAGCCGCTACTTTACTCTCCTTCTGAAAAATTGTCCCTTTATTTTATTCTGTTGACACCTTTTTGATGAGAAGAGAAAAGGTATACATATATTTCATATATCTTTTCAAATTGCAATATATATAGATTTTATTAAAGTTCACATGGCAATTAGGTGGACAATCAGACATGGTTTGATGCTACTCTGCTTTAAAGATTTAATGAAAGTAACTGAGAAGTTTCAATTCATAGACCAAACGTTTCGACACTCCTGTGGTAATACCAAGCAATGGTGATAATTTTAGACTTATCCCACCCAATTGTATGATTGGTTAGGCATGTGTGCTCCAATAAAGCTGGAGGCTGGAGCTTAACAATCCATCTCACTTGTTTCAACTTCAGGCCTACCATAATATATCAGTCCATTGCAATTTGAAATATTTTTTGTATGCTAATTTCCAACATTCGCATGTACTTGGTAAGATGAGAACTGCTTTGACTCCATAATCCTATACAATCTTTTTCATCTGTGGTGAATTTGTGCAACAAACATTTAAGTAGAGCGTAGTGTCTGGTAATAGCAAATCTGATTTGATCAGTTGCTTAATTATGATAGAAAAAAATTTCAAATAAAAAATAGTTGAGAGAATTAAAAAGGTCAATTATATTCTGTAGTTGTCATTTGTGTTGTTGTATCAGTGAGTTATACGAGTGCTGTCAACTTTGTTAAATGTATGTTAGAAAATTCCTTTTTTTTTTGAGGGGGGGGGGGGTATAAAATGTGTTATGTATTTGTATAATAACTAGGAAACAGAAAAATTTGGTAGAAAATTGCAAAGTAGTAAATTTTATAAATGCGTATGAAATTCAGGGAAAAGGATAAAATAATAATGATAAAGCTAAGCTTAAGTCTCGAAATTGTGAAATGAAATATCTGACACCATACAACACAAAATGGATATAGGTAAATCAACTGTATTTGCCAATTCAACAACTGACCATCAATTTACAATGTAGTCTGAGTAAATTTGAAATACTACTAAATTAGATAGAAATGAGAGAGATGGTAACAAGGCAAAAAACAACTTTCTCTATTTCTTTATCAAGTTGAAAACTTACCGTCTCTCTTATTTCTATCTACAAACATTATGCTTTAGATATTGCCGATTCTAGCAGTATGCAGGACACGTTTCATATGAACTTCGTAATAGGCCTCGCTCACCATGGAGTCTCTGTGGCTCAAGGTAGAGTGTCAAAGTGTGTAATCTGAAGGTCTGAGGTTCGATTCCCCATGGGGACTCAGAATTTTTTCTTTGTCCCATGCTTTTGACAAGATGAAAAAACATCTATCTCCACTACTAAATTCTTTGAATAGTTATGTTGCAAACCTAGCTATTTCAATAATATATAGGGAAAGATAGGCAAACAATGTCTGACAATCGATACATGATTAGGAAACATGTAATTCAATTTGTCACAATACTGGGACAAAGAAAGAATCTGAGCCCTCATCATTAGGGATCAAACCCCAGACCTTTGGTTTCTGAACTTTGATGCTCTATCACTGAACTACAAAAAAACTGTATGTTAAGCTAGGCCATTACTAGGTTCATATGTGACTTGTACTGCAAACTTCATGGATCACCCATGTCAAAAGCGTTGTGTGAGTGACCTGCATGATTAGGAAAAATGGTAAATATCTTGAATGCGGTTTGCAAATAAACTGACTTTTACCTCCACCTGTTGATCCTCCTCACTCAAGTTAAAGTATATTTGCCACAGGTTTTGGAGAGAGAAACGTTTTCTTTAAATTTTTGCCTTTCCAGTCTGTTTGTGTAAACTTTGCTGTATTTACAAGCGCTATTAATGTCACAACATACTAATACATCTTAGCTTCCATTCAATGTAAATTTCATGTGGTTCAATAAACATCAGCATAGATCACTAAAAATGAAATTAAAATGGGCAACTAAACTTAATTAAAAACTTTTAAAATAGTTCACATATATACCTCTTTTAATCACTTCTCTTCTACTGATTTTAATTACTAATTTTGAACTGGCTGCCAGCCTAACATTTCTCAATTAAAGGGGGAGGTCCCTTCTTCAAGGTTTTTTGGCTGGTTCAAGTTAGAGTTTTCTGCCAGTGACTGGTTGCTTACAATAGGTAAATAATCTAATTAATGACTGGCAAATCTGGGAAATATCATTAATGTAAGGTTTTTTTAAATCTGAAGAGGGACAAAAGAAAGAGGCAAACACTAAAGGAACAAAGAAAACTGGAAATACCAAAAAGAAGGAGGAGGAAAGGCCATCCTCAGGGTCAGGTGTGTCAAATGGTTAAATTTTCATAATTTGAGTGTACATGATATTTATATGCTCTGTGGGGCCTGTTACTTCCTGTGTAATATCTCCAGAATGAACTGGGGCCCCCCACCTTCCCTCACTCTAAAAGCCCCACAGCTTTTATCCCCTTTTTCCAGTCTTTACAATCTTCTATTATGGCTTGCAGCTCTTGAACACTTTCTGCCCAGTATCCTCAAGGAGTGCAACTAACTATAGGTGACTCTTTTTCTTCCCCTACTTGTCCTTCCTTTGGTTGTTGGCCAGAGGACCAGTTTGTTTGTAGTATTATCTACATGACATAAATAATGTCCTGGAAGATGCATTCAGTATTGCACATTATGTTTCTATTGTTCTATTCACCGATCACATATTCTTTCCATCTAACTTTTGATCCACCTAACATTATGAGAGAGCATTTTATGAATTTGTTGTGATGCCCAAAGGGTTTAAAGCAATGAGCCCTTTCATAATACTTGCAGATTTGGAAGTTGCGACAAGTGCAAATAAAATAGATTTCACAGACTACATGGCTGATGGAACCTCAGGTAAAATTCTGTCCTAATCTAAAGAATGGGCAATGACTGGTAATCATTGTGATGTAGGCTGCTATATTTGAGTCAAGAGTAGAAAGTGTATAACTAATTTCCTCCTGCAGGTCCCAGTAGTAACAAAGCTAGACAAAGCTATAGTGAAGCAGCTTGAGGAACAGTGTTAATTGACAAATTGCAGCTTTGCTTTTGCTCATGTTTTTTTTGTGTAACAGTTGGGAATCAAGTTTGAATTTTTTAACCATTGTAGAGGTTTAGAAAGTTCCCTCTCAGATATACCATAGAACCCACTTTTTCAATAATGAAGTTGTTAATAAAAAATTGTATTACATTCAAATAACTAAATATCTCAAATTCTAGAATAAGTGGAATATGCAACATTTTAGGTTGATTTTTGGCAGCTCAGTTCTTTCAATTTTCTCCTTTTCCTCCTTTCTGTCCCCTCACTAAAAGTAGGAACTACTTTGTTTTGCCATTGTTCTAACTTGCTCTTTAGGAATTTTAAGTGAACTTTGATAAATTATAAAACTTCAAGCAGTATTACATATAGTGTTATAACAGTAGCTTCCGAGATGGCTACAAATTTAAAGTATCTATTGGATAAATGCCCTAAAAATATCCTTTTTTAAGATATTTGAGCCCCCTTAATTTTAACAAGATTGGAAATAATAGGAAAAAAGGCAGGGATTTGAACAAATTTAGATGTGCTAATTGGTACCTTGATAGAACCAAAGAAGCTAAGTAGACAAAGACTTTAGGAGGAGTTCATTGCTTAGTTCCCTTATTTATGTTAGTTAAGGAGGTCACATTGTTAGAGCTATGATTGGTTCTTTCTTGATACAAATTAACACATGTATATTTGGCTACTTTATACATACTTCTTCTTTTTAATATCATAATGGACTTAGTGGACTTAAAGAAAGAGGTCTATAAAATTGATTGTCTTAATTACTAATGTGTCTATCTGGTGGTGGTTAGTTACTGACCACTAAGGAAATTGGTTTTACAGAAGAACTCCCTAACTCAAACCTAGTTCACTTGAACCCTCCACTAACTTGAACAAGATCTGATTTCCCTTGGATTTAGCCTGCAGTGCAGGTGTCTTATTAGTGCAAGCTAACATTAAAAGCTGGCAATTGTTTATCTGATGGGCCATGTTTGATTTGGAGTTAGAGTGGGGGTAGGGGCAGGGTAATTATTCAAGTAATAATTAGTTATTAGTTATATGTTATATATCTTATTTATTATGAATCGTATTTAATTGTTATTTTGTATTCCAATTATCATTATTATTATTATTTTTATTTTATCTTTAGTTTATTGTAATTATTATGTTACAGCGCATTTGAATATATATAAATAGAATTTGCGCCTTAGAAGTCAATAAATTATTATAATTATTATTATTAATCTTCACACCCCCACTCCCAGCCTTCCCTATTTTTTATCGTCCACAGCCCCCTTGGTACAAATTTCTTTCTCTCCCCAGCCTTCCACTTTCATTAAAATCATAGATATACCGAGCTCTTACTCACCAAAATTACTCCTGCTCTGCAGGCTACCTTGGATTTGACCCCATTTTCCAGTCATTTAACATCAGTTAACTCAACCATGGTTAACTCAAACAAAATTTAATTTTCCTTGGCTCAAATGTACCCTGATAACTTGAACATTCATTAAAAATGTCCATTGATAACTGTCAACATTTCAGAACATAGCTGATTGACTCATGCCAGCCTTCAATTGCAATTGATACAAATGTGATAACATGAAAACAAAATACATTTGCCTTAACTTCCCAAACTAAACTTTCTTATAATAAAAGAAAAATTAATGTACAAAGAAGACTGGTAATCATGTAAGGATGGTTAAAACATGATTCGTTATTGATTATTATCAGGATAATAGAAATTAAACACAGACCCTGATAACTTGAGCCATTTTGGGTTTCTGAAAAAGCATTAAATTCAGAAGTATGATATCATTTAGTCCTGGAGATATCCATCAGGAGGCTCTGGATTAGCTAATCTCACCCAAGGGGAGTGTTTGTTTATTTTTTCATCCTTTAATAGTAAGATATTCATTCAGTAGAAAGGTGCATTAATTAAAATATATATCTTAAATTTCTTTGCTTTGAAACATGAAATTGTTTACAGTTTATTAATTACTATGAACACATAATAATAAGGATGCTTGCAATTAATTCATTAACAAGTACTTTTGTACAGATACATCACTTGATTGACACATTGTATAAGACTTCAAAACAGAATGACTGTCTAGATCCATCTTACTTGGACACAACAGTAGTTGCAGTAAACTTTGATTTAGTTTCATTCATTCAAACTTTTTTCAGTAATAAGTAGCCATTTTATTTCTTACAAAATAAATTAAATGTTGCCAAGAAGTGATGTATCATGGGAAGTTCTTAGTAATGAATGAATGGTAATCATATTTATTACAAAACTGAGTGCATATCTAGACTAACATTAGAGGCTCGTACAAACTTAAGACAGCTTTTTAAATCTTCACAGGAAAAACCACTAGTTCAAAACAGAATGGAAGTAAACAGCCTTCAGAGCAAGATGAGAGGAAAAACAGGGATAGTAATGCTCAAACTCAGGGTGTGAAATTAAGTTTTTTTTTTTGATAGCCACTTGGCTCCCAAATTTTTCAAAGTGGTAGCCAATTCGAAAAAAGTTGGTCGCCATTTTTAAAGGCAAACGAAACCTTTTTTTTACGTTGTCAGCTTTCTAGAAAGACCCTGAAAATTAGTCGCCAATTTGGCGACTAATTTTCAGGATTTGGTCGCCAAAGTGAAAAATTTAGTCGCGTTGGCGCCTGTATTAGGCGCAATTTCACGCCCTGAAACTGGTAAGTATTTCTATTTCAGCTCTGTAATTCTACCTGCCTAGAAGGGAGGAGTAGTCTCAAATCCAGATCCAGGCAATTTCATGTAACTGTCAGTGCCCTTCGGTGCTTATAGACCACTTAGTCACTCCACTTAGAAGTGCAAATTAACACTTGCACAGTGTCAAATGTTGGTAGGGTGGGGAGACTCTTTAATAGAATGGCATCCCATTCCAGGAAAGTAGCTAATAACCCATTCACACCAAAGCTCAAAAATGTTTTAAAGCTGTTTTTAAACACTTTGAATTTCTTGCTGCGCAGCAGCTGCTTAAACCGATGGTTCTTGATTTCAAATGTAGCACTTTGAAAATACAAGGTAGCAATGACTTGAAAACTATGGAAAATTCAGTTTTTCATTTCTCTGTTTCTGATTTTCATTCAATTAAACCCAGTTTACAAAACATGTTTTGTTAGTGTGACTGGGTTCTGATACTCTTTCTATAAGTAGCCACTTCACTTGCAAGAAACTAGAACTTTGAGACGTCAAATAGGTCTTGTATTCAGCGTGTTTCGCCTTACTTCCTCTTCATACACACGTATGTATGTTTCTATGTAATTTTTTTTTGTTTTCTTTTCAGAACCTAGAAACAGAGATCCGCCTCCTCAGTCAGCCATGGATCAGCAGCAGAATAAAAAAAGGCTTTCTCTAAGTAAGAAAGACAATGGAAAATTTTATTATTGTAATAGTGACCCTTGCCTAAGTCCAGGGACTAAAGAGGGGAAACTTACCGTAGCTGGGGCCCGTTTCTCGAAAGTCCTGGTTACTTAACGGGGGTGGAGCCATATTTCAAAATCAAAAGTTAAAGAATAGAGAAGCAGATCCTGACACCTTAACCAGTCCATTTTGTTTCTCTAGCTGATAGTTTTATTGTATAATTTTCAAACCTTTCGAAAACCCCATCATGAATGATAGCGGAACAGCTTAACGTGCCCGTTAGGTTACTGTGACCTTTGCAAAACGGGCTCGAAGGTTATCTAAATAAAATAAGTCCTGAAGTTTTGGAAAAACCTTTTGATTAATTTCCGAGACCGTCCCCAAAAAAAGTTATCGAACAATTTTTTTTTGTAACTTTCCTTAAATGTGGTTTCGAAAAGTGTAATAAAAAAGATAGGTCACTGTGCTTGTTAAAGAGATATAACGGACCAAACTCGCCCCATTTATGCCTGCACTGGCACTAATCACGAGCGTCGTTTCATCGGTTCACAGTACATTTTAAATCAGCTGGAAGGAAGAGTTTTTAAAGTAATACTTTAATAGATAGAAGGAAAGTCTTGAGCGTATGGAACAATTTCATACATAATTTGTGGAAAAATCACGCAAATTTAAACGACGTCAACTCAAAACGTTCCTCGAGTCGTTGCTTTCAAGTTCATAATTTGGATCCTCGAGTAATGGGCTTCGTGCACGCATTTAGTCATATCTTTTTTTCCCTTCGAATATATATATATATTTTAATTTCCCCAATTTAAAGAGGATAAATTGTACACCAAAATTATGCACACACACACACACACAAAATGTAGGTCACCGTGTTCGTTCAAGAGCTACTTCTTTACCTGGTCTTTTGATTGAAAAACAATACCGTGTTCTAGGGATGCGCGCGCGCTTATTCGCCCGATTACGTGATTTTTATGCGCAGTAGAGGATGCGCTGTGCAATTCTAAGGAATCGCCTTAACGTGATTTCCCCAAAACATTAGCATTACAGCGATTATCTTATAAAATACTGTGTTAGACAATGACTTCCATCCCTGAGAAAAGCCGTAACAACACGTGAAAAAATTACTATAATTTTTTTCACGTGTGTTCGATATCGTCAATCAGCAGCTCACGTCACTCGTCTTTCACTTCACTCGTTGATGAATGAACGGCAAAGTCTTCACCAAAGTCTTCTTCATTGTAAATAGAGACAGTTGTTCAAAATCTCAAATGGCAGGAGGCAGACTAGTTGGCTCTATACCAAGCACAGCCAAGGAGTTGAACTTGGGTTAATTAAGAAAAAGCCAAGCGAGTAGCCACTCGGCCACACTGCCTCCTGAGTTACTTCTAATGTATGATGAGAATTTTAAGATAGGAGAACGCCATCAACAGTTTTTGTATGTGGCATATCTTGAATTGTATTTGTTCCGAAATCAGAGAATTTAATACGAAAGGTTTGCGAATTTTTGCGTTGAATTCGCCGTAACTTCACCTCCGAAAGTGCAAACAAGCCTGATTTGGTGGAATTACAGGCGGGCTGCACGTTGAAGAAGATAGATCAGCTGGTTAAAGGGAAGCTGTGAGATTCCTGAATCCTTTAGTTAACATAAACTGAGTAAACTATAAAGACGGCGACAATATGAGATACTCCATGGGTAGAGGGCTGAGTACCAGGCATCTAATCATGGAAGTTTCGATACGCTTCAGAAGCAACTGTATGTTTGGGTGGGTCTCAGACGCGATGGAGAGTATTCTTTAAATCATTTCAGAGTTGTTTTGAAGATTAAGAAAAACCAGTTTGTAGCGAAATCATTCTTCATCTGTTGTGTATCGACTTTTGACTTGTTGCGTATCGACTTTTGACTTGTTGTGTATCGACTTTTGACTTGTTGTGTATCGACTTTTGACTTGTTGTGTATCGACTTTTGACTTATTGTGTATCGACTTTTGACTTGTTGCGAAACGACTTTGAAGCGAAACTACCCAACGCCCAGATTGCGAACGTGATAACCCACTCGTGATTTTGCGAGAGCAAACGAAAGGTTTTTTAGTTACGAACCTAAGGCAAGTGCTTTACGAACGCCTCGAGTTTTTTCCAAACATTCCAAGGAGATTTTGAAGCAATAGAAAGTGCAGTTTTCTTGTTTTCAGTAAAACGGTGTTTAACCAATCAGAGCGCACCTGGTGTCGCGGGTACAAATTCTTTACTTATACTAATAGTAGCTTTATTCTTAATTATTGATGACTGTTAATTTCTCGCCTCATTGTCTGGAAACTTTTTAGTTTTTGGCACTATCACAGTCTTAGTCGTGCAATAGTTTAAAATACTGTATTTCAAATCATATTGATCGTAGGTGGTCGGATTGACATTTCTCTGAAAAACAACTTGACGCTCGTTGAAAGACTAGCAAGACATCTGGACAAAGAACGTCGCTATGGGGTTACAAAATGTTGGAAGCATTTAGCAGAACATTTGAAAGTGGACAAGGACACTTACAACACTTTCACATGCAGTTTGGAAACCAGTCCTACAGAGAATTTATTTGAATATTTAAATACAAACATTTCAGAGCCAGTTACGATTGGAAAACTGACGGATGGTTTAGCGTCCATTGAAAGACGAGATGTAATTGAAGATGTTATTGAGAAGTATAAAAAGTTGGGTGAGTGAAGTGCACCTATTAGCTCTAATTTTTGAAAGGTGAAATTAGTCAGTCAACGTATCGGTAGGGGTAATTTGGTTTTATCAACTGAATTCATAAAGTATGTTCGTATAAAGTATAAAGTATGTTCGTCACCGTAAAGAGCTTTTAAGTGAAGGTCAAACACTCGAAACGTCAGCTTTAGAAACTTTTAATGGAGGCCAATAGGCCACTTCCGAGTTCTCGCGGCTCAGTGATCTGGTGTCGAAATAACTGCGCGAGAACGAGGCTAAGTGCGAAGTTGCTCTCATAAGTATAAAAGCCGTGGTGTTGAAAATTAGGGAAATTTCTCAAAATTCAATGTGGGAGATTTCCATTTCGCAAATTACAAATTTGAGTTCATTTCACAAATTACAGCTCTCAATTTCGTTTCGTCCGTAAAAGAACAATAACCTCTCGCCATGAATCAGCAAGAAATGAAACAACGCCTATGAAACATTAAAGCAACTGAGGCACTCAGCCTTAATGTACAACATCTACCTTTTTGTTATCGGGCAAAGCATCACATCGGTATTTAAATGCTGGTAAAGGTGGTGTGAGGGGTGTTTGTCACGGACGCTTAGTTTAATTGTCTTCATCACATGTCTTCTGTACATTATTGGTATTATCACATGTCCTCTATAGATAATTAGTAGCGCGTTGAAAGTATTGATCAGATGTCCTAGGTTGAACTCTTGTTGGAAACAATCAAACAATTTTTTCCAACTGAGACATGTCATATTTCACTTAAATCTCATATTCATTTCCATCAAGAACTCTGTTTAAATCTACAAATATATTTCATTCCTTTTCATTTCCAGCATAACCTAGTAATTTCAAGTCTCCCAGCTTATATCATTTTCTTGTGTAGTGTGTTATCTATTTCCCGCATATAGAGCATTCCGCCTTAGAAAGAACGGAATGTTTTAGCTCCTTAATGCAGGTCTTTAATCATCAAACCCGCCTAGAAACCACTCTTTAGATCAGGGGAGCGAAGTTTTCATTGTTCCATACTACACTTACCCACTTTTTACAGATAAATCATTGACTGATGAAACTGCTGTGGGAAGCCTTTTTACCAGCCATCCATCTATGATTGGGGAGATGGCTTTAATGTTAGACGTGAATGAGCTCGGAAAGAAAAACTGGCGATTCCTTGCTGACGTCTTTAAGGTGGATAGAGTAGAATCCCAAAACTTTACGAAATCCATCGAAGACAACCCGGCTAAGAAATTGCTTGAAGTTCTTGAAAGTAGGTATCCTAGGATGACCGTTGGAGATCTAATAAAGAAATTGAACGATCGCAAATGGCAGGTGGTATCGGATGTACTTACAAACTGCAAGGAAGGTGAAAAAAAAATTGTAATTTATTCCATAGTTGACAATTAAATTTCGCAGTTTTCCTTTTTTTGTACTAATTGTGAGTAATAAGATATCGATAATGTTGCATATAAGTGAGATACGTGAGTAGAAAGGTCAATTTTAATGATATTCTAAGGAACGTTAAATAAGGATTCATTGTAAATTCATCCTAACTTTAATTTCTCTCTAAAATATCTACTAGAATCGTTTAGAATGTCCGTAAATATCCGGAAGGCAGTTTCATACGTAAACGTATCGAACCATATGAGAATTTGAAACTTAAATTTCAATTAAAAACATTTTTAAAATGATAAGCGGGAGGGGATAAGTCGGGGAGCGCCAAAATGCAGCAGAATTTCGCTGTATCAGTCAATTTACCTTTTGAAACTGAATTATTATTATTATTATTATTATTATTATTCGTGGTGTGAAATTGCTCTATTTGCCCGCAGACGCAGTACAGTACCATTTTTCCAGAGACTGACAACTTTGCTCGAACTACTTTCTTCTCTTTAATCTAGTCACCGAAAGCAGTCTGTTGAGCGATTTATGGGACCTGAATTACGATGCAGCAAATAACTTATGCAACCATTTAAACCATGGGAGCACGAGCACTAGACGCGCTTGGAGGATTTTGGGACATGATTTCAAAATCTTGAAGGAAGATCTAGACACTTTTTCTCCTCATGAAGAAGAAGTAATAAGCCCTATGGAGGCACTAGTCAATCATTTGGGTGGTGCCCAGCCCAATCTAACTTTCAAAGAGTTTATAGCGGCCTTGTATTCAATTGACAGAAAAGATGTGGTAGAGAAGTGCTTTCCAGGTTAGTGAGCATTACATTCTGTCAATCCGTCCTACGCTAGTGCCACATTTATTATTTTGCCTGTGATGTCAGCATTATTTTTTCCTTTTACAGTCTTGTGATTGACTAACATTTTCTTTGACAATAACATCTATTTGGCGCGAAAATAAGCTTGGATGTTTGTCCGCAGTCGTTATCTGTTTCGAAAACGTATAGAGAAAAGCGAATCAAGTTTGATTACAATAGCCTTTGTTAAGTGGTTAAAAATGACCGTATATGGCCACTCTGGAACAACGATGAGACAGCTTTAAAATACACGCGGGATTTTTCAAAATTTTCGTTTATCATACGAGCGGCATATTTAAATCATCGGCAAAACTGACGGAAAGACATATCCTCCCCTTGGGGGGTGATACTGGTTGAAATGTTTTAGGATGCAAATAGTCACGGTGGGGTGGATGGTGCGGCGACTGTTGCTTTCGTAACTGAAGTAAAGAGATGCCACTGTTTTTTCCTTTCTATTTTTTAAAAATGGCAAAAGATATATTTAATTAGAGGCTCACTGTGCGATGCAATGGTAATGAGAACATGTGTAACCTGGTATTAACGTTTGAAGCCTCTCGCGCCGTTGAATCATGTAGAAGACTATCGTCATTCACTCGACTGTTCAATCTGATCAAATTTAGCGCCGCGTGAAATAAATTTTGTTCCTAATGCGCACAAAAAGCTGAATATTCTCCTTCCTTCAGCGTGTGTTTAAAACCTGGTAATAACATCCGAAGCTTCGCACGTCGTTAATTTATGTAGTTCATGGGTATCATTCTCTTTTCGTATTTCCACAGAACGAAACGAGCTAAAAAAACAATGACGAGTGGTCACTCGCTCGTCACTTTCTCCCATTTGACTCGACTGTTCAATCCGAGTGTATATCTTACAATTGCTAGCTGTTTACCGAAGCGTAAATACATGCGCCCAGTAAAAGCTTGACACGCGAAAAAATCACACCTCTTGATTCGTTAAATGCTGCCTCGCTCACAGGCAGCCCAAGCTCCAGCTGTGAGATGATTATCTTACGCAATAACGGTCATGGCGGAATTATAAGAGTTTGTATGGGAATATTTACGACCGCTCTAAGGAATAAAAAAATACGTCAAATTCTCAAAAAAAATACCTCACCTCGCTTCCACAGCGTATTGCTTATTATCTGACCGCTTACTTTGATGAAAAGAGCCCATTTGAGCGAGTTGTTCATTTCGAGGTTTTCAACGTACATAAGAAAAGCCCAAGGCTGAACACTCCATTTCCGAACGCCTGATCCGAGAAGCGAAAAATCCAAGCTCAAAATGACCGGGCGGCCACAAATCCAACGCAGAATCCAAGCACACACACTGTAGTTTCATTTCAATTCACTACAAACTCAATCTTCCCCGTGCAACCGACGCTAAGCCGCAGTTTGCTTCAAAAATTTCCAGTTTAGAGGTTTCTAACAGCCCGCGGCCACATCAACCTTGACACACGACCGTTGAAACCCTACCTCCTTTTCAAACTGAGCCTCGCCGGGGACCACACCGCCAGTTATTATCAATAAATTGTTTTAGAACCACGGGTCCCCTCTCGGTCGATTTCGATTTTGATGTGGCCGCGGGCTGTTAGAAACCTCTAAACTGGAAATTTTTGAAGCAAACTGCGGCTTAGCGTCGGTTGCACGGGGAAGATTGAGTTTGTAGTGAATTGAAATGAAACTACAGTGTGTGTGCTTGGATTCTGCGTTGGATTTGTGGCCGCCCGGTCATTTTGAGCTTGGATTTTTCGCTTCTCGGATCAGGCGTTCGGAAATGGAGTGTTCAGCCTTGGGCTTTTCTTATGTACGTTGAAAACCTCGAAATGAACAACTCGCTCAAATGGGCTCTTTTCATCAAAGTAAGCGGTCAGATAACAAGCAATACGCTGTGGAAGCGAGGTGAGGTATTTTTTTTGAGAATTTGACGTATTTTTTTATTCCTTAGAGCGGTCGTAAATATTCCCATACAAACTCTTATAATTCCGCCATGACCGTTATTGCGTAAGATAATCATCTCACAGCTGGAGCTTGGGCTGCCTGTGCCTCGCTTGATTGAAAACAAACATAAAGTCATAACGCCCGCTTTCTGTGAAGAGATAGTATGGGAAAACTGTTGATAGCTTTATAATTTTAATAAAGACTGTTAGCATCCGCCGTTAAACTATAATAGGTTTAAGGAGAGTGACTTACTTCAAGCAAGACTGGGTTTTTTTTTCTCCGAAAGAGAATATAAAGCAAGAAAAAAATTCGCACCTTTTTCCTGTTAGACTTGTGAGCAAAAATATCACACCCTCATCTTGCCGCGCGTGTGATGAAAACGAAAATAACTCAAAATACATGTTCTCGCAAAAACCAGAGATGATTTCCTTGATCAGTACATCTTGTGTCGTGAAGGGAACAGTTTTACGATAAAAGACAAATATCCAAGGATATAATCCGTCAAATAATTTTTCTAGCGTGCGATTGGTCTACACAAATCATGTGAATGAATATGCCCAAGCTACAAGTGGGGAATATCAGAGGGTGTACTCCAAGTAATTTCAAACCTTACGTCCACCCACGATAAAAGGATTCGTTTAAAATTTAATTCAAGATGAGAGAGCGTTTTGTGGTAGTTATAGTATAGAAACACAAGAGCGCGAGTAATAATGACGATCGAGTGTTGTAGTTGGCCTTACCTCTTAACTAAAGCAGCTTTTGTTTTAAGTCCTTTCAGTAAATCACCTCTATATTTTAGCCAGAACTTGAATTCTTCATTCTTGGAAGTTGCGGGAGATCTTCCACAAAGGAAGACCCCGGGATATCGTCTTCTGTAAGTTGACAAGCAGCCGTATGTGCGAAGTCAAAATGAAAGGAAAAGTTTCCTTACTAACCTCGACTTCATGATCTGGCCCAGTCACGGTCGAGTGTGGTCGGCCATATTGGAATTCGGTGTATAGTGTTTATCAATTCCTGCGAAACATTGATAAAACGCGAGGCAGCCACTTTGAAATTTAGCGCCCCTGCTAGATATAACGCAATCCTCGACCAATCAGAGTGCTCATCTCTATAATCACCGGAGCAATTACACTAAATTTTGTTGTAAATTCGTTTTGTAAATTGTAAATTTTGCTAGAATTGTTTTGATTACTCGTATCGAGATAAATAGTAAGTTTCCGCCAGAATTTAACAGTTTTCACGTTTATCACTTAAAACGCGAGGCAGCCAATTTTGAAATTTAGCGCCCCTGCTACAATCACCTCGCGCGAGGTGATATAGCGAGATATGACGCAATCCTGGACCAATCAGAGCGCCTGTATTTCTATAATCACCGGAGCAATAATAATAATAATAAAAACATTCGATGGGTTATAACATCGGATATCCTTTCGTTGTACCTGGGACGTACTGGGCCAATTTGCGCGTTCAGACCAATCGAGCGCGAGCAAAAATATTTTATAGACAATAACTAACAACTATTTACCGAAGTGGAGGTAGCTAATGGTGGATTTTTACCGCCACACTGAAGTGTATAGTTATTTTAGTATATACTAGAACAGTGAGATAATATAGCACAAAAAGATGATTTTAACCCCATTATTTTCATGAACGATCGCAGTACATTCGGGCGCAATTCCCGTGCGAGTTGCTGGAGACCTTAATCAAAGATAGCAAGCTACTTACGCTGTTTTCGGATCAGAATAAAGAAACTACTGTTGGTTGTAGTCTCCCGCTAAGAGTTCTTTTTTTTTTCTGTACTAGATTTAGGAAAGAAGTATGAAGATTCGCTAGCGCAGAGCCAGAGTCAACCTACTCGTGAGCAAATAAAACCAACAACATCATTCCAGGAAACGACTGTTTAACTGTATACATATAATCGAGAACTCCAAGCAACAAGAAATGTACCTACTGGAGGTTTGTCTGCGCTGTCAAATTAAGTCGGTTCAGATTGATAGGAACTAGAGTTGTCTCCCGTAGGACCATGGTATAGCTGGAGTATTTTTAAAGATGGATAGATTTTGTTAGAGTAAACTGTTCAAATTTACGATGTAGATCAGTTAATTTGGGGGGGAGGGCCACGTTAGCCTTGTTACAGTGACAATCGCTATTTGTACTGTTTCTCGCCTAATTTTACGTAATTACAAAATGTGAACCGAACAGAGTGACACGAATGGAGAGGACGTGTCAGCAGTTGATTGGCGATATTAAACACACGTAAAACAGTTATCGTAATTTTACACGTGTTTACAGTCACGGCTTTTTATAAAAGGCAGCAGTTTATATAATAATATAAAATATTACAAAGCAATGCCATACTTCTATAATTCATGTTACACGTTAAGCACGCATATTAAGACAACAGTCTTTTCTTTGTGCAATAATTAGATATGGATAATCTTACCGTGATTAAGTAGATTTTTCTTTGAGATCGTTCAAGACAAACCTATTCGGCATATATCTTATATTTTACTGTAAGCAGCTATTAGAGATGTTGGAAATTGCTCCCGTGCCACCCAAAATCCCTTTTATTTTTCTCTCCCTTCTCACGCTATTGTAAACTACCATAAAGTTACCAGCAGTTTACACTGGGTCGTGCTTAAGCACCAACGTTCAGAAATGCATGCAGTAACGAAAATTGCAAATTTGACAAAATTTTGTCAAATCGAGTGAATGCTCATAGAGTTTGGCGAATTTTAGTCCAATTCTTCAGAGAGAAATCAGCTTGGCGGAATTGATGATTTTGAAGAATTTTCGCCATTTTCTTTTCCGTATGTATTTCTGGGCATATCTTTGCTTAGGATGCCATAAACAAATTTATCTTCTCTCTTTCATTCTCTTCTCCTAAAACGGGCTAGAAATCCTATAAAGGACGCCGCCATTTTGAAAAAACAAACAAAAAAACCAATCTGGCTGCACATCCATCACATATAGGGGGAACCATGATGAATGGTTCACAAAAAGTCTCCTACTGATAATCACGAAAAGGAAAGGGATGGATGCCAAGAGGTTAAAGCCTGTGGGTTGTTGGGACGCAGGTAAGCGACCAGACTTTGAAGTAGTGTTCAAAATGGCTGTGTTCGAAATCGTTCGATTAGATAATTTGAAATGTCTTTTTTCCCAAACGATTAGGTACTTTTTGGAGTCTCTAAACGCCTTAAGCTGTTGGGTTGTGTTGATTTATGGTTCGTGAGCTAAATTTCGCATCAAGAGGTTCTGGTTCCGTATTATACAGGGTTATCGTGATTCTGCTGTAATCTAAGGCGACTGACCTTTACTCTCATGGTGTATCTAGGTCAGGAGGTTCACAAAGTCTTGAGCTAGCCTTAAGATGAATAAGTAGGTAGGCTAAAAAGCTATTTATGCTGAATTTTTAATATTCTTCCTTATTTTAATAATCAATTTTAGGCAATACAGTTTTTAATAAAACTAATGAACTCAAAGGTGTGATGCAATAATTATATGTCTTGTCAGTCACCGTCTAGTATTACTACTAACAAGTTCCTTTCAAGAAATTACTCTTTACTGAGATCAAGGATGGTTTTCAAGTTTGGTCATTCCTATTCTCGTCGAAGGCCCCTTCGAACGAGTGGGAGCAGTTGTGTCGGGCTCATTTCCACCCTAAAGCAAAAATAACTGGTATATCGTTTTTAATGATTGCCTTACAACTTAGGTTACCAGAAATTGAAAGAAGTGGTACTTATACGTTCCAGTGATTCCATTTGTGCGTAGAACTTCTGTTTCTGAAGCACTCAAATTGGCGATAGTCCTTGTTCCTTTCTTTACAGCTGCGAACCGCAATTACCAATTGATCTAAATCTATTGACCAGAGAATCTGAAAAAAATCTGAAAGCGCAAACTACAGCTAGAGAACATTTGCAGTACTGAGATCAGTTAATACACCATCATAATTAGATGGTCCTGATGTCTACCAAAATGAGTCCTATCTCCCTTAGAATAATTCTTAAGAAAAGTCCACTGGCTCTAATGATTCAAAAGTAGGGGAAATGCTTCCAACAAGTTTCATGAAGTGATAAGAAAAATTTTGCTTCTATGAAAATTCTTAAACAGCGTGTTATAGATGTAAAAACTCATTATTTGTTAAAATGGGCACGTCTCTCCTATTATTAAAGTAAGTGTGAAACCAAAGAGAAGATTTTGGATGGGAGACTCATTGAAAGTTCAAGAATTTTTGGTTTGTAGGCATTTCAAATTCCCTATGCACGGGTATTTCTGTTACTTGCTCAGTTCCATGTTAAAACTGACGACCTTTATCCATTACGAACTCATCGTAATTAATGCAAAGTGCGGTGCTTGTGCTTATGCTAATTGCATAGTTGTGCGTGCTCTGCGAGTGCGAAGGTGACAATTACATAGTGCAACATCTTTCCTCTTGTGAACGATAAAAGTTACAGATAGCACAATTATTTCGTAGAAAAAGTTGTGGTTATTCATCGTGGTGAATAACAATAAAAGTTAATTTTTTCGTTTGTCTCACGATGTAGTCACGTGTGATGTAGATCGTGACGTTTCGACTGCATACTGTTAGTCTTCTTCAGGCGATGAGGTCGACTGGTCGTGCGTAATCTTATAAAGCACGATGCTCTGCTGTGATTAGTTTTTTTTTTTCAACAGCTCTGATTGGTGCTTTTCGATCCTTGCTGTTCACTCAGTGATTTACTCCCTCGGCGGTCTGCTGTCGCACGGCTCTCCTGTTGTTGTGTTTTTTAATCGTGGGCATCCACGCTTCTGGAATTTCTATTCCACCATCCCTGTTGATATTGTAAGAGTTAAGTCTTATATGAATTGCTTCTTTGACCCTGCGCGTGTAGTAATAAGGGTCACGATCAATAAACTTTGCTTCGTTCTAGAGTGGCTCATGTCCGGTGTTGTGGGCATGCTCTGAAACAGCGGAGGTTTCGGTACGGGCGAGTCGAATGTCTCGATCGTACTCCTTAATTCTGTCTTGCATAGGTCTTCCAGTCTCTCCGATGTACACCTTGCCGCATTCACAGGGAATCCTGTAAACTACGCCATCTTGTTTAGCCGGGTCAACAGCGTCTTTTGGTCGTACTAAGTGAGATCTTAGCGTAGTCTCCGACTTGAAAACAGCGCACACGCCTTGTTGTTGTAGGCAACGGCGAAGCTGTTCGGACAGACCTTTGACATAAGGTAAAACCGCAGTAGCTTTGAACTCGTTGGCGGGCTGTTAAGTATAACTGACTTCCGAATTGCGGGCCATTGTCTGTTATCAACTCATCTGGGATTCCATGGCGAGCAAACTGTCGCTTCATTGCTCTGATCACTGAGTCAGCCGAGGTATTTCCGCTGAGGGAGTCAAATTCAATGCAATCACCGTAATGGTTGACCATTACGAGATGGTTATTTCCGTGTAACTGTAAGAGGTCAGCACTTATTTTTGACCCCCGGTCTGGTCGGCGAGATTTCATCGGTTCTTGTGGTCGCTCGCTGACGTATTGGGCACAAAGTTCAAGTGAAAGGCATTTTTCCTTGATTGCTTGATTGCATTCCAGACTAAAAGAGAGACTCGCGCGATCTACTTATGCTGCTATCAGCCCCCTGGTGCGCTTTGTATATTTTCTGCAACATCTCTACTCATAACGAAGAAGGGAAAATGCCTTGGTGAGATCGATAGGCTACTCCATCGTAAACAGAAATGTCGTCTCTGAAACTCCAATACTGCCTTAGTTGCTCTGGCGTTTCCTGTCTTTCTGCAGGCCACCCACTAGTTATTACACTGTATAGGGATGCCAGGACCGGATCTTTAGCGGTCTCTTGTGTGATTCGTTGCATGGCTTCAGGTGTGACTCTGTTTGGCTCAATATCCATTTCAGCTAATTCCATCCGGAACACTTCGTATTCTTTCCTAGCACTGGTTGTTGAAGGATGATAAGTGACAGGTGCACGAGACAGAGTGTCGACAACGTAAAGTTCCTTTCCTTTCTTGTATCGAACTGAAAATTGATATCTTTGTAGCTTGAGCATCATTCATCATTGCAGAGAAGCTTCTTAAAGATTGTCTCGAGCGGTTCATGATCTGTATGTACCGTGATAACGTGTCTTCCGTACAAGTACTGGTGCCACTTTTCCATGCGAGAGATAATTGCGAGACACTCCTTTTCATTATGAGCATAATTCTTCTCGGTGCTGATGAATTCTCAAATAGTAGTAGTAGTAGTAGGCAGTCGTCGGACCATGTCCATGACTAGCGCAATTGCGACAAACACTTTCTCTCGTGGCTAAAAAGCCCAATTCTAGAACGTAACTAGCGTAGGTAGTCCAAGACTCGCTACCAAACAATAAGGTGCTCACGATGCAGGCACGATACACAGCAACTTTAGTTTGGGTAGTTAGCTTCCTGTGCTCCCAGACACGGGCAGACAGCTTAGCCATCTTGGTTGCAGCCTTACCAATTCTCTTTCCAATCTCCACTTCAAGATAGTTGTTGTTGGAGGTGGTGGAGCCGAGATAGGTAAACTGTGTGACAGCTTCCAAGGTGTAATCTTTGATTGTTACGGCAGGCGTGGCTGCATTTGCCTGGCACATGACTTTCGTCTTCTTTAGGCTGATTGTAAGTCTGAAGGCCTCACATACGTCAGAAAACTGATTGAGGAGGAGTTGGAGTTTTTCAGCGGTGTGAGCAACGAGGGTAACATCATCGGCAAAGAGAAGGTCACGGATGGCTACCTTGCGCACTTTGGTCTTGGCTCTAAGGCGCGCAGGGTTGAAGAGTTTACCATCAGAACGAGATCGTATCAGGATGCCTTCTTCAGAGGACTTGAAAGCATGATTCAGTAGAACTGAAAAGAAGATGTTGAAGAGAGTTGGGGCTAGCACACATCCT